AGCGTCCTTGCTCCTAGTAGTAAGGCACTTGTTTCTACTAGCTTCTTTTTACTACTAGTAAGGCACTTGTTACTAGTAGCGATGCACTTTGTTACTAGTAGCGTCCTTGTTCCTAGTAAGGCCAGGAGACACTTTTTTAAGCGTCCTGGTGACTTTAAATCGACCTCTCGGGACCCAGTCCAAGGGTCCCAAGACCGAGGGGTCGGCATGTTGTCCAACCCACCCGCAGAAAAAAAGAAAAAACGACCCAGACCAGGTCGATGACGATGTGAGTAGTCGCATGGAAACAGGTGAAAAGGATCTCATTTCATAAAGGCAAGAAGTAGGGGGGATGAATTTGTCATTTGTCCACTCCTCACATTTCCCCTCTCCTATCCGCCCCGGCTCAGTTCCCTTGCCCGGCGCCTTCGCTGGCAGAACCTGCCAGGTTGTGGCCGCAGCGTCGAAGAGGTCACCAATGGACGACGCTTTGCTCTTTGCTACGTTCGTAGTGTCCTTTCTAGTAGTAGTAATGCCCTTCTTACTGGGTCCTTAAGATTACTTACACCGCGAAAAAAGTAAGAGGCGCAACTCCAATCATGCGGAGAGCGCCATCAACCCTACCCAAACGTCAAATTCAGACCACTGCCAAAAATCGCGGTTATGGATCCGTGACTGATGAGATCTTGAAACATTGCGCCATCTACTTGCATTGCCAGTCACTAGACAAATGCTAATGCTACTGTAAGTTCATGATTCTTTGCAAAGATGAGGCCATTCCATGATATGCACTCTTGCCACTCTAAAAAGTATTGAGCCATCTACTCCCTCATGATTTAGCTTTGCAGACGATGGGTGAACGAATACTAAAAAATCACGAAACCTGACAAAAACCACCTGTTTTTTCCCAAATTCAACCTTAAGACAAAAAAATCGGGACGGCTCGATTTCAACAATCACCTTTGATCGAGTCTACTCGTGCCGTTTTTGCTCGGCATCCCTTGTGTGGAGTAGATGGCGCAACTCAAAGAGCGTACAATGCCAAGTAGATGGCGCAACTCAAAAACCCTGTGCCTTTTACTTTTTTCGTGGAGTAAGTGTGATTACGCCATTATGCTGGAAGCCATCGCTACTAGGCTGGAGGCCATCGCTAAAGTAGGTTGGAGCCCGAAGTTGAGTCACCGAGAGATGCTTCTTCGGGCCGGTCATATTTTTCGGAGGCGATTTGAAGCATGAACATCAATAAGCGTATCACCTTTGTCTTAAAAAAAAATGCCGGTTGTCAAGGAGGTGCAACAATCCAAACACAAAGTGGAATGCACCATTCAGGATACAGTCACATGCATTTGGCAGCTAAGATCCTATTGATCATGGTAACCTAAATCAGTAACAGCCTCTAACGAGGCAATATTCAACAAAGAATGAGTGATTACACTACCACAAGGCATGCCATGCGTCCTCAACATCACACTTGGTGGACAATAGCCCTGCACCGGCTGCTTTGACAGGTCTCTGGATCCTTGGTGTCTCCCGGCCCGGGTCTAGACCTTCAAGCTGTGAAGGAGGCTGGGAGGCAGCGGTTCCGGTTCCGTGGCCTCCGGTATACGCGTGCAAGGTCAGGAAAACACAGGATGAAATAAGCGAAAGGTCTATAATATTGTAATATAATATATATATATTGTATTATATTGTATTATAATGTAGACTGATGATTTAAAATCCCCCCATATGGAGATGCAACACCATTCTGGAAGGGGGGGTTCTATCAATCAACATCAATCAACGGTCTACATTAATCCATGACAGCTGTGCCATGCTATGCCTGCCAACCCCACCTGTCATCACTGCCGGCTTTACACGCCTAATCAGTAACAACACGAAGAACAAATGGATAAAAGTGGCACTTGTTGTCCTCATTCACTGGCCTGCTTCTCGCTGCTCCCAACTTTCTCGCTGCTCGCTACCCAGGCCAAGCAAAACACGTGTCCCCAATAATTACTCCAGATTCTGACAGCAATGCTCCAATGCTGCGTCCATTGGAAAGGCAACCACTCTGAAGCTTCGGAGAAGCTGTGAAGAATCAACACTTCGTCAGCCCTTCGTCCACTGATGTCCACGGTTTCCCGGTCTCAAATGAGATTCCACCGGAGTTCCCTATCCGCCCAGAAACAGCGAGATGGGCGAGCAACCCGATTGCGCCAATGGTGGAAAACCGATTGAGTGGAACCGCTGAGGCAAAGATTTTGGGCCTTTTGGGCGTCCACATGCTGTCCAACGAGGTTGTTTGAACGTGGGAAGCGAATTCGAACGGTGTCCAATCACTCCTGTCCAGGTTTTGCCCAAGGAAGCTTGTGGATGCTAAGGATGAATTAATAGACTGAAAGACACTGAGCATGCCTGGACACAGAAGAAAAGAACTGATAACTGATAAATCACTCCAAATCTTCTTGCACAGAGCCTGTTGAAATTCCGTGTTTGGTTTAGCTGCTGAAACTATAAATGGGCTTGTCTCACAGTGGGCCCCCACATACCCCTGCACAAATCCTGCAAGGCCACACGTCTTCCAGACTTGCTACAAGACCAGACAACAAAAAAACCTTCTAGCAAGCACACACGCAAAGACAAGCACTTAGAGCTTAAGACCTTTGGCCAGGCCAAGCCAAGCCAGAAAACACGTCCAGCCTGAGCTGGGCGCCGACGCTGCCGGCGGGTCACGCATCGGCGCTCGCAGACCTACCGTGCAGTTCGTGGTCGAGTGGCGATCGAAGGCCAGACCCAGGGGGCATGTGGTATAGTGAGATCCCCACCTGATCTAATGCATTTGTCTCAGCCTCTTCCAGCATCACAAGCATCAGGAACCCGCAGAGGCAGAAACATCTTTCTGCCCGCTACTGCAGCTGCTACTGGTCCCTTTGCTATTGCCTTTGCTACTGCTCCTCATGCTACTCCTACTACTCCACGAGGGATCGTCATGTTGCTCCACCGGTCTCGCCGCGGAACCGCGACGCCAAGCGACGTCCGCGTTCGGCACCTTCAGGTGGGACCCAAACATTCTGGGGTTCCTCCTGCCGGATCTTCGCACAGAAAGCCTGAGCGGCGAGGTCTGACATGAAATCCATGTGTTTCGCAAAACCTTCGAGATGAATGGGATGACGCACCAGATCCAGTTTGAATACATGTGTGTGTGTGTGTTGCTCTATGGGAACTCCTTCATCATGGTGCTGGACTTCGTGTATGAACAGCTCCATGTTGGCAGCTCCATGTGTGTCAGGGTGACAACTTAGGGTCAAGCCCGGACGTGAAAGGCAGGTGAACCTTTCAAACCAATGTTTCAATGTATGACTGTTGATTATGTAAAAAAAAATGAGGTTGTTCCATCCAAATGGGGGTGGTTTCAAGAGTCTACAATATTCTACAGCTACCATTAGTTTCTGGGGACGACTGGGCGATGTAAAGCAAAAAAGAACCGTTGGGCATCAGAGCCTCCCTCCATTTTATAGAGACAATTGCCGCACCCTCCTGACAGCCTGTGGCTCAGACTTCATCCACTTCTGCCTCCTCCTAGGTCGGCGCTACTCACGGCGACGGCCGAGTGGTGGACCGCGACGCACGGCGGCACGAAGCCGTTGGACCTGCCTACCGGTCACCGTGATAGATCCCAAAAAGGGAGGCCAGCTCCAATCACCCGAAACAGTCGGTCGACACGGTTCGGGCGCCCATGCTACGTCTGTTTCTGGGATGCATTGCATCTTGGGGAATGAGATTGCGGACCTCTTTGCGAGGTATGCTTTTCACCATCAAGAGACATTGAAGAGTAGTAATTCATGTCTCATTCTGGATGTTTTTTGCCCCGGGCCGCCTCGTAGGTGAAATCGCTCCGATCCAGGCGGCTCTTCAGCGCCTGAACGTCCGGTGAAGCGAGGTGAATTCGAAGTTTCGGTGATCATCGATGTGATTTGAATCGATGTGATCTTTTCTTCGGATGGGATTGAGTTCACCATACTTATCAGAATGTTCGTACTAGTACTATCTAGTACTGTAGTCTTGTTAGGCATCTATCTCAGGAGGACATCTATCCATTGGACCTGTATCATTTCCCAGACACTCCATGTGTGAACACATATGCCGATCAGTTGGGGTGGTTGACTGGGGGGTCTATGGGGCGGCAGTCCTACACATGGAGTGTCTGGGTGTTCATCTGAGCTGGAGTTCAGATTTGGTCCGTAGGGGGTCCTCTTAATGCCCGCAGGTGTCCTGCCTGCCGTCCGGGTGGATCTCTTGCTGTCTCGCACGCGACGGTTTTGGAATGTGCATGTGTGTCCTTGGACAAGGCATTTGCATCACATGTTTTGGATCATGCATGAGTTTAAGTGCTATTTACAAGTCGATATCTCCTATAGGATCGCTGTGGTGACCAACGTCACTGTTGCCCTGTACCACTCGCACCTTGGTCGCTTCTCGGATCAGCGGTGGGGCGAAGATCGAGTTGCTGGGAGGGACCTCGTTTCGCGAGCAAAGATCGAGTGAAGCAAAGATCGTGGTGAGGGTGGTTCTGGGGGGACATGAGTTTTGGAGGATGTTTGATGGCGAGTGAATGCTCGTGATATTTCCATCTGGCAATACGCAGTATATACAGTACAATGGTTTTGCATCTTCTGTACATTGTTCTGAGCTTCTATCAGTTTACCCACAATTTTTCCGGTGTCTTGATGGTTCAAAGAATTGCTATTTTGGAACAACCAGACCTGTTTCTGCTTGGGGGGTTCCAGGCACTTCTCTTGCTTTGGGATTTCACTGCCACACCTGACCACAGAATTCTCAACCCCAAACCATGTCGTCGCCGGGCCACGCCCTTCCACCGCTCCACCACGTTGGCAGTGGCAGGGGTGAGCCCTGACCTGCCGAGATTGTCGGCCACTTGAGCAACTTCCTTCTTCTCTCTGACTTGCTTTAGTTATCCTTTTCTTTTATTCTTGCTTCCGACTGGTTCGGACTGGTTTGCCCCACTCTGGCTCAAGCACTCTTTGACCAAACCCCGCTTTCTTGCCCCACGGGATCATCCCATGGCACCTCCATCTGAAGGTCTTTCGCTCCAGCCTCTCGCGCACCGCGCAGCGTCCGCACGAACTAGCGGGGCCGTCCGCGGAGCTGTCGCAGCGTGGCGCGAAGAAAAGAAAAGCAGATCAAAATGAGGACGATATATGAGGTGCGGACAAAAATATGTCTTCATCCAACATGCTATATGCTAAACTGGGTCGTCCATTATCGGTTGTCGGATGCTCATACGGTCCAATCACTCTACTTGGAGGTCCAATCTCCCCGAAATAGCTGGCTTTGGCCAACATCTCAGACCGACCTTCAGATTACTGAGGAAAAATGAGAGGGCAAAATGTGACGATATGTAGGTGTCGATGTTTTCGTTTCCAGAGTGCTGTGTATGCGGTGTGCATTTCTGGGTTGGCCAAATCAGATCAAGTCAGTAGCTGTTGGCCAACAGTGACGAGGTCTCAAACAATCACATCCTCCTCCTCTTCCCTCCTATTAAGTATCCTCCTGTCTCCCTCATATCATGGACTGTAAAACTAAAAGTATTCTCCTCTTCCCTGCATGTCTTGTGTTCTGTGGTAAGTGGTCAAGCACGCGCACGCGAGCGATGCCCTGCGAGGAGGTGGTTTTTGATGAGCGATACCATCCGTTCGAGCCCCAAGTGACGAAAAAAAGAAAGGTGACCCGAACTTCACATATTTGTGTAACGATTCCCCCATGACTATACCGTATCTTGAAAAATCAGACCTTATCCTAATTTGCCCTTATGGAAAGTGTAGGACTTTCTGAAATTGTGTCCGGGTTGCACAGAATTGCGCGGATTGCGCAAACTCGTGGTAGGAGTTGCTCCCCCAGTTTGGCCATGGTGGCTCCGAAAGTACTACGGTTCTCAGAAAGCACTGCGATCTTGACAAAATTGATACGAACTATCTCTTTTCGGCCGCTTTCATGAAGAGTAGGAGGACAAACGTTTGGGGGGAGCTTTTTTTCTAGTACAAATGGAGGGATTGAATGGCCTGCTAAAACCCTGACAGGTTTTTCTGGTCCGGTTGATTCATCAAGCACTCCACTCCACCCAATCAGAACTCCCTCCTCACACGGCCTGTCAGTGTCGGGAAGTTCCTCTTCACGATGGACAATCAACATCTGCTCCACATTGGCCGATTTGTAAAGCGCCTCGCTGTCTCTGGGCAGTTGCATTTCTTGACCGCAATTAACCCTGTGCTTGACCTGTTTCAGTGGCACGAGTTCCTGAGTGAGGAAAACACAGCAAAAAGAGACACGGATCTTTGGGATCTTTCGAAGGACATGAAATGCATGAAGGACTGCCAACCTGCCAATGTCAAGGTATCTCCGATCCTTCGATCGCCACCCGGCCTCTCGGATCGCTCCGAGACCACCGTGTCCGAGCCGTGAGACACGGTATCTCCCCGCGTCTAACACGGTCGGACAATGGCGACGAACGGAGCAGCGAACGGAAGCTGCGAACGGGGCGAACATGGCCTTACGAACGGAACAAGAAGGCGACGAACGGAACCAAGTGCATCGCTACGTTCGTAAGCCCAAATCAGATTAGGGGGTCCCGTGAGGAGCCTTCACTGGCCTGCCGTGGGTACCAAACATGGCCCGCCGTGCGTGGTTGGGCGGGATTTGACCCAAGTGTTCGTTGGCGATCTATTGATGATGATTGAGTTAAGGGCATCGTGATGTTCTTGTAGTGCACACATTGCAGCAGTCTGTTTACAACGAGGCATGCAAAATGTTTACGGTATACGGTCGGTATATGCCAATAATGTGTTTGGATATTCACCTTCATCCAGCGATCTACTCGTCTTCCTAGCCCTTTAAACATTACGCAATAGAAAGTGTTTCCATAAATGTCTGCAGTATTGTGTTTTCTGTGCTCGACAAAAGTGGAGGGCTCCCCTCTCTGCTCCTTACACCACGTTCTGCACGTACCACACCTTGAAGGTCTTCTTTCGCCTGTGCCGCCCACCCCGACCGCACGACACTCGCACACGGTCGCACCTGGCTGGCATTCTGCGGCGGCAAAATGTGACTCTCCACGAAGCAGGGCAAGTCCACCAAGGTACCATACCTCCAACGGCCGGATGTTCGGACCCCGCGTGCCACGTGAAGCTGCCGAAAAAGGGGCGGCCACGGAGAAGCCGCTGGTGAAGCCGCCCCCTTCATGGGGTAGACCCGGAAAAAGGTGAGAGTCTTGGAGGTGTTTTTTTTTTGGTGTCTTTTTCAAAGTTGCCGCATCCTTGGGGTATGGAATAAACTCATGGTCTTCCCATCTGATAGTTCTTCGTCTCATAGTCATACTATGTCATACTGCTCCAACGTCAACTTCAAAAAGAAAAGCTCCTCATTACGTCATTCCCCTCTCTTCTTTAGGCAACCAGGACCAAGGTTGGAATATATTCTCTCTGAGAAAAAGATTGCAGTCTGGCGCCAGCAAAAAGCACACCTTCTGCAACCCTTGACCTGCTTTAGGGCTTACGTATGTGGCATTGTAGCAGCATTGAAAGCAAATGGGAATCCGAAACCGTGGACCAGTCTGGAATCCTGGAATACGCTGGGAAAACAGAAAAACTTGATAAAACTTGTCTATCCACCGACTTGGAGACTCTTGGACCACTTTCGGACGAGGGAGCCTCCGAAACAACCTAGTCTCCGCCTTCGCGATAGGACCGGCCTCCCTTTGCAACGTCTGATTGATGCGAGGGGTGAACCTATGATCCTGACATCCGACTCTTGGAGAAGCATCCGACTCTTGGTGGTAGTCACGACGTGCGGTCACCGGTAGTCCTCCTTTCATCCCGAAGATGCCAAACTGGAGCAAGTCTGAAAAAACAACGCCGAAGAAGCCAATGGTTTGACTCTTCAGCTGGATGCCGTCCGATCTTTGACACCAAGCTGGGAGCAGGGCCAGCTTCCTCCAAGGTGGCTATCCCAACAAACCAACGTCACTCGCATGTCAGTGTGTGTATATGTAAATTATGTGGTTATATTAATAAAATATTATATATACTTTATAATGTTATATTAGATGTAATATATACATATGTATGACATTGTATGAAAATGAAGTTTCGACGTTTCGGAACGCCTTTTCACCTTGAGCCAAAACACGTCAAGAGTCACGTGTCTGCAGTACTCTAGCGGAGTATTTATGGGCTGTACATGCAAACACTCCTCCTCTTGCAAAGCACTGTACTGCTGCGCAAGCTTAAAGAAAGTATATGAAACTTCCCGCTGCTGAGCCACTTTCAGTTGTGGTAGTGGAGCTTGGCCAGGGACCTTACTCCAAAACATCTAACTGTCCTTTGCTTCGCTTGCTGAGGAATGCATACTGCAGGTCCTCCATGGTTTTGCGAAGTTGCACCCCAGGGACCGATTTGGTCAACACATCGGCTTTGTTCTTGACACCTGGAATGTGGTGCACTTTCAAGTGGCCTTCGGCGACCCTTTCTTGCAACCATAGGTATCGAGTCTGGATGTGTCTGGCTTTACCCAAACCCACTCGGTTCACAGTTCCTTTGGCTGCATTGGAATCGCCCTCTATGGTGACTCCCAATTCCAAACCAAGATCTGCGCATAGGCTTTGGAGTCCTAAGCCCACAGATCCTCCCTTCACAAGTGCGTAGTATTCGCTCTCACCTGTGGAAAAGGCTATGGTGGATTGGATGTTACTGCTGTGTTTCAACACGTGTGTGCCATAAATGGCAACCATGCCAGTCGTGCTTTTGCGTGTCACAGCATCTCCACCATGGTCGGCGTCGACCTGGACCCTCAGCCTCGAGGGTGCCTGTTGTGAACCAAAACACTGACCAACATCAGGCTATTTCTTCAAGTACCTGATGAGACGTTTCAAGTCTGCAAGTTTGGCTTCTGTTGGCGACACCATACCTCGAGCAAGGTTCTTGACTGCGTGTCCAATATCGAGTCGATCTTGGGACAGATACGCAGCACGCATCGTAGCTGAACGATACTTCGATGCCTCGCTCTTATCAAGCAGCGGACTGCGGCTTTCCAGCATCTGCTGTTCTGCCGACTTCTTGACATCTGGTGATTCCACACCATTTGCCTTTTCCAGACCAAATGCCTGGATCAAAAGATCAACATGTCTCCGATCGGCTTCGATCACAATCGATCTTTTGCCGTTCTTCTTTTCGACTCGGATCAACCGATTCAGAAAATGGGCTTCTGTTCGGTCTCCATCCTCGTCTCCAAGAATTCCGAGACATTTCAGCTCATAGGCATCTTTGAGGACTTGACTGAGCTTCTCCAAGTGTTGAGCGTCTCCAAGTGCTAGGAAGTCATCTCCATGCACCATCACTCTGACGTCCCAAGCTTCTTGGTAGAAGACTGACGCGTTTGACAGCCCTCTGCGGAAACCAGCCTTCTGCAGAGTCTCTGTGTAGTGCGTCTGCCAGATATTTGGAGCGTCCTGTGTCCCATGCATCGACTTCACGAGAAGTCCACAGGTTTGTCCATCTCTGCTGGCTTCGTCCTCAGGCGGCAGCTCTATGTAGATCTTTCTCTTTGGAGTTCCATAAAAGTGTGCTCATGAGATGTCCCACAAGCCCAGCTTCAGCGGCTGGTTGTGGCAGGACTTTCTCTTTGTTGCCCACAACGAGCACAGCAGTCTCATCGCCTCCAATGGGGGCGTGCTGCTGAAAAGCAAGTTGGCTGGCAATTGTTCTTCTTTGGTCTTTCTTGCCTTTATCTCACGCACAACTAATCGGCTCCTGTAGTTCGGGTTTGTTGGATCTCCCTTGTTGGTGTCCAACCATCTAACTGGAATCGGGGGCTTCCCCGTTTCCTCAAAACATTCGGCTCTCGGCCGGGGAACATAAACGCCATGCTTCTCCTTCAAGTAGTCCATCTCAAGGCGTCTTGCCTCCTTCACCTTCTCGGCTGGCAAAATGCCGCCGTTCACATCATCCATGTAGACCTCTTCGAACTCAGGGTCCATCAGAGGCATCTCTGGAACTGGGCCTGCTGCGAACAGATCGAAGGTGTTCAACTCACCTTTCTCTGCTAGCGTGTCACGCAGGCTCCTCAGCACTGCTTTCACAAGCTGCGGTGGGTATACCGCTGCCTGCCTAGCAATGCCTCCGATTAGATGGATGCGTCGGTGCCATGGTCCTTTGCCCGATTCATTCGAGCAGACTCCTTGCAAGACTCGGGCTAACCCTTCATCGTTGGTCATCCAACCGGTCTCCTTTCTCACATAGCCGGTGCCTTGGAGTCCTCTCCGGTCGGTGGCCATCATCTGCCACCTGCACATTGGACCTTTCACCACAAACACACCATCTTCTTTTGCTAAGGCCTCAACCTTCTCATCCTTCCAACTGGTTGCGGCCCAGGGTGCCTCATGGAGGAATTTTCTTCCTGAGCGATGCTGTTTGACATACAGCTCTACGCTCGTATGAAGATGGTGGACGGCTTCGTCCATTTTCCTCCTCCTGACATCCGGTGCCATGTTTCTCCAGTTCAGATTCTGGAGCTGCGAAAACATATGGCATGGAGGCGAACCAGTTAAGAGAGCAGGTTCGTCCCTCTCTAGGATGTCGTGCACCTCTTGAACATCCTCTGACTTGTTCAAGTCCCAGTATGTTCCATCACTTTTCATTTCGTTCAAGTCGATCGCGAAGCCCGGTCGCAACTTGTACCGCTCTGCGAGAGCGGTGAACCTTTTGGGCGAGTAGATCTCCATGATATCTACTGCTGACATCTGCATGCTCAAATGCGCGATGTCTCTGATCTCTTGCTCAGTGATTTCGATGGCATTCGCCTCATAGGTTCCTTGAATGATCTTCTTCAGATGCTGCTTTGCGATCTCCTTCTCTTTTACCAAGCTTGCTGCATCTGGCCTCCACCCTGCTGGTGGTGTTTCTGGGACATACGAAAACGTCTCAGTTTTGACTCTGGGATCAAGGTCTTCTACGGCAGTCTCTGCCGTCCTCTTTGTTCCTTGGACTGGATTCGGCTTGACCTTTGCCCCGGGTGGATCTATTCTAAGTTCTCCTGTTCTCTTCTTGGGCTCTGTTGCTACCTTGGCTTTCGCCACTGGCTTCTTTGCCATCTCGGCTGCTTGTCTCTCGGGTCATCGGGATAGGTCTTCTCACCCTCTGCCGCTGTTTGCGGCGGGCTTCCCGACCCTGCGCTCTTCGCTTCTTCTTTCTTCTCTGGTTCTCCGGCCGCGTCTTCGGCCGTGATGTCTGTGTCCTTATCGGCCACAACTCTCGGCTTCACAGTCGAGCTGTTGCCGTTCTTTCCTCTTCTTCGCATGGGCTTCAAGTCTCGCTTGCCCAGCTTCATCCTTCTCCATTGCTTCTGTGATCCTTGCTCTGCACGCCTCTGTGTGAGGCAAGGTCGTTCTCTTGTCTTCCAAGATGCACCTGCATCCTGGGCAGCCTTCTGTGGCTCCATGCTCGTGCACATCTTCCTTCCTGATGTACACTCGCCTCTGTTGCGGTGGTGCCACTCGTTCCTCCTTGGGAGGTGGTACCAAGGCGTTCTTCGAGCATCAGCTGCTCACCGGCAGGCCTTGCCGCGGAGTGCTCCCACGGTAAGCCCCGCAAAAGGTCCCAATCACTTGGGTCCCAGCGGTCGGCTGAACTCAGCCGCCGGATTCCTGTGCCTCTTCGCACGCCATCAGCCGTCATCACCAAAATGGATCCTGTTCGGCCGTGGTGCCCTACATAGCGTCCTTCTTTCAGGATGCGAACTCCCTCGCCTACTTCTCTAAAGTATAGGCGTTCACCAAAGGCTATGGCGGGTTTCCGCCATTGCTTTCCACATCTTCTGGCCTCAGGCGTTCTGCCATCTTGACCTTTCTTGTACCTGCTCAACAGGTCTCCCGCCTGCCTTGGCAGCCAGGCCAATGCAGGATCATCGTCTTTGAGCTCTTTGCCGAGCTTCTCTTCCAACGTGCTGCGGAGGACTCGTACTTGACGTTTGATCTCCTTGCAGGCGTTCTCTGCCAGACCATTCGCTTGATGGTCTCCTACTGGCGACTCTTCCGTAACCCAGTCTATGCCGGTTTCTTTCGCCGCTGCCTCTTTCAAGGCTACCACGGATGGCTCGCCATCCGATTTGAGAACCACCTTGCGGCGTCCCAAGTTCTTCAAGAAGTTCGCCACGAACTTCACTGCATACGGCGTTGCTCCCTTCGAATCCACGAAGGTCGCCGCTAAGGACTGCGTCCTCTCATCTTTCACCACGAGGATCGGCTTTACTCGCTCGTCCTCCACACCGCCCCGTGACATGAACGTGTAGTCCATTGCCACTATGGGCACAAGGCTCTTGGCCTTCTGTTCCTCGGACCTTGTCCGATGCGGCTGTCCTACAGCTCGTCCAGCAATGCAATGCCGGCACCAATTTCGATATTGCACATGGCCTGTCGCCTCGTGCTCTTCGATCTCAGCCGGAGTTGGGTCCTCCGGTGCTCTTATCTGGATGGGTTTCTCAACCTCATCAACTAATTCCCACTCATCATCCTCTTCTCGCCCCTCTGGACCAGGTCGGCCTGAATCCATAGAGGCATCTCCTCTCTCTCCTGCGGCATTCAACTCTGCAATGCCGCAGCATTCCTTGGTCGGTTTATACCCTGGCTTTCTCAAGTAGAAATTGTACACTCCCTGCTCTTGATACACAGGGATCCAACTCCGCTGCTCTGCAGCGTTCGCTTTCTCCAGGATCGCCTGAACAGCCTTTCCAACTTTGGACCCTTGCGGAATCAAGTTTCCGCCATTCACATCAAGAACTGCAATCCTTCCAAAGCCTAAGCACTTGGATGCTGAAATCAATGGCTTGTGAACATCGGCCATTGAACCTTTCACACGGCATTTGTTGCCGCTCTCGTCGAACCCCTCAAAGGTTCCAATGCCCTGACTGGGCACCAGCTCTCCTGATGCAGTCTTGAAAACAACACCGTTGCCCTCACTGACAACCACTCGGTCCTCCCAGCCATTCGGGGTGGCTGTCTGGGCTGCTCCAGTGTCCAGGTTAAACTTCATCCATTCTTCGGCGGATGAAGCATCCGCTATTCCAACTCCACTCAAGTCTGCCATGAGCATCCCGACATCTGCTTCCGGAGCTGGCTCAATGCCATCATCCGGTTCGTCCATCTCTTCCATGCTTCCTGCGGCTTTACCTTTGCCGCCTTTTCCACCTTTGCCTTTATTGCCTTTGCCACCTTTTCCACTCCTATCTCCTTTGCCTGAACCTGGCCATTTATCGCCTTTTCCATCCGGCCGTTTCTTGCTCCAGCAATCGGCCGCTCGGTGTCCTTTCTTACCGCAATTGTAGCAGGTGATATCTTGAGCCGGGTTTGAGCCTTTACTTGAGCCCCCTTTGCTTGAGCCTTTCTTTCCATCGCCTTTGGCCTGTTTACCTTTTCCTTTACCTTTTCCTTTGACTAGGCTTGCAATCCATTGTCCGATCGAATCGACGTCCATTGGTTGAGGTCCTTGGTAACTAGAGCTTGATGAACCTGGTTTTGGAACAGATGACTTTGATGTGAGAGATGATTCAATGACAAGTTCAATCTCCTGTTTGATCAATGAATAGGTGGTCAATCTACTCTTGTTCAACAAAAGATGTTTCTCCAAGTCTGGGGGTACCAACATCTCCAATGAAGCGGACTTGATGTCGTCCGATAGAGTCTCCCTTATTCCTGCGGCACTCCTCCGGGACTCGTACCGCCTGATGAGCTCCTCGAGCTGTTCGATCGCTGGCCTCACCGCGGCCCACGTCTTGACTCGTTCAGGTTGGAGAATTGCTCGAAGGATATTGCGTTTCCGTCCCGAGGTTCGGGGATCCCAACGACGGTGAACCCGTCGATATGCTTCAAATCCATTTGAAGCTCCTACCATTAAATCTTCTGTTTCACCTGAGGTCAGGGTCAGGAGGGCGCGATGAATTTGATCCGCTTTATCCTCAAGATCTTCAATGGCTGCTATGGTACCAGCCCCAAACGCGGATTCCATGGTACTCATTTCAATCGCGTCTTCCTGTTCCAAAATATACTCTAGAACTTCAATGAACTCTCTTCCAAAAGTGGATATGAACAGGTTGTCAATGCTCCTGGCCCATTTTCGGAAATCCCCTTCAACATTCCCAAACTCTCAGGGCGTCCCAAACCTTTGGTGTCCATAAGGATTTGGGACTTTCGTCTATCTTCCTTCTTCTCAAGGCTCTTAGCCAGTTCTCCTACGGCTGAAGCCAACATTGATACCCCACCTTGAGACTCCCTCAACACCTGGTTTTCCTGTTCCAACCGTGCTTGGTTTTGCTGGAGCTGCAAAACCATATCAGACAACTGTTGGATCTGCTGTTCCAATGCCATGATTTCCCACTCTCAACCCCTGCTGGCGCTGCTCTCGTGCCTTTTCAGCTGCGGACGATTCGTCCGATCTCCGGCCCCTTACCAGGCCGGTCCAAGGGCTTTCACCCTTGGGAAGGTTCGGAAGCTTTTGGCACTCCACGGACCTCAACCGTGGTCCGTGTAAGCTCTTCCGGGCGGCGGCCTACGGTCGATGTGGCCTTTGCTTTGGCCTTCTCTTTTGGTGCGGCCTTCGATTTGGCCTTCTCTTTTGGCCTTGGTGCCAAGTTCACCTTTGGCGCCGGCTTTGTCTTGGCGCTCGATCCGAGGCGGGCAGGTCCCTTAAGTCCCCGTCGTTTGATGTAGTCCTGAACCACGGGCAGCTGTGCCTGTCGTCGTTCGTCACAAGAACTACAGGCCTCGTTGGATCCTCTCTTTCCTTGGTCGTTGGGGGTCTTCCAGAGTTCGCGAATGGCGGCCAATGCAACGGTACCCTTAAGGCCTCGCTGCTCAACAAGTTCGTCGGCCGCAAGCTTTCGCACTTGGAATGGGCTCTCTAATTTCCAATTTTCAATCGTCAATCGCTGGGCCCGCTCGTTGGCTAGGGTGACAATGCGGAGGTTCAACTCCAGTGCACGTCCCCAGACCGCCCGTCCCCGCTCGGTGTCGCGGGTTTGCGGTCGCTTAGCCGGCGGTGGCCCGTCCGGTGTTCGGGGCTGCCGAACCGGACTTGGTTGGCTCAACGACTCTTCCTCGTCGACCTCCTCCTCGGCTGAACCAGCCGCTTCGTTCTTCTCCGAGGTCTTCCTCTTCTTGGTCCGCTTCTCCTGATTGCGGCCCTTCTGCTCTTCCCGCTCTTCTTTGATCTCTTGTGGAGTGCGTCCCTTTCCGAAGTCCTTGATGCGCCTCCTCAAGTCTTCTGTGATAACACCCTGCTTCTTTTGCAACCTGACCAGGTCCTTGAGCTTCCGATACTGAAGCGAAACCTTGCTTCGAAGTCGGAATCCGGACTGTGGTTCTGGGTGCTCCTTGACTTGGCCCCAAATCTGTTTCTTCACCTGCTTCCTCCAAGGTGCCTTGGGATCAACCTTGGCTGGGGTATATTTGGTGTGAATGCCACGAACCTCCCAACCTGTTTTGATACCCTCTGGGGATGTGATGAGATCGGCGATAACTCGGCCAGACGGTGGCTGTGCGGCTGGATCAACCGCTTCAGCCTCTGGCTCAACTGTTGGGTCCTGTTCAGGCTCTTCTTCTTCTCCTCCTTCTGTCCCTTTTGTGTTTTGCTCTTCTTCTTTTGTTTCTGCGGTCGTTCCAACCGCTGAAGTTGTTTCTGCGGTTTTCTCAACCGCTGGAGTGGTGTTTGCGGCTGGATCCGCCGCTGATGTGGCTGGCAAAGGCTCTTTCTCCTCCTCTTTTTCTTTTCCTCCTTCTCCTTTTCCACTCGTGGCGGCAGAAGCTGCCGCTCCCGAGGTTCCCAGCTCCTCCTCCTCGGAGCTCTCGACCTTACTGTGTCTTTCTTCCTTTATGCGCAGCGCTTGGTCCCTTTCACTTTCACCGGACTCGTACGCTACCATGAAAATGAAGTTTCGACGTTTCGGAACGCCTTTTCACCTTGAGCCAAAACACGTCAAGAGTCACGTGTCTGCAGTACTCTAGCGGAGTATTTATGGGCTGTACATGCAAACATTAATAAAATATTATATATACTTTATAATGTTATATTAGATGTAATATATACATATGTATGACATTGTATGACTGTATGTATGTAAGCACATGATCCTTCAACAGCCAACATCCGGCCATCTGGGCCACCCGACATCTGCTCTCCCCAAGCCTGGAAATCATGGGATGTCTTCTTCGTTTGGATGTGCAGTTCGCTCCGAAGGCGGTCCAGGAAACCACCCTTGTCTTATAGGAAATACCCGGGGCCCAGTTGAGTACCGAGCAACAAGGTCACCGGAAAAAACAAGTGAACCTTGAAGCTGGACCTGTACACTGACGCCCGAGTCGGAAATCCCTGGCGGATCCAAGGTGAAGCGAACTTTCCACCAACCTGTTGGGTCTTGAGTGGGTGGAAACCAATCCCTTCCGAAAGCTTCTCCACCTTAGGTACATGTCCTCCCAACTCCACCGTGACGTTCTCCGTTGTGTTCCGTGGCGCCCCCGCCTTCACCTGGAAGTGGCGCCCCTCCAGCGCCGTCTCGACGGCGGACGGACCGCGCGGCACCTGGCACCGGGGGGACCCTGGTTTACCGAAAATAGAGTGGACGACTGGGGAGGTCAACCTACCAGAGGGTTTAGGGTTCTGGGGTGATCCACCACCATATGGCCAGGCTGAACCAGCAGGCAAGTTGAAGGCTCATGTCCGACATGCCCTGGTTCTAGAAACGGCCGCCGTTCTAGTAACCGGAAAATGGAGATCTTGGACACAGAGAACCGAGCCAGGACTTGCCGGGACTGACCCCCCGGTTTTTGGACGAACCACCACCCAACAAATGGCCTCTTCCTGTCAAAGACGTTCTTGCAAGGGTGCTAGTTCGCATGTGTGTTTTTCCTCACAAGGGTTGGTTGAGGATGCTCCTTTTTGAGAAAATCTCAACAGTAAGTGCTCTATGGGCTTCATATAGTACCGTATTGAACCCCAAGTAGAAGCAATTCGGCTGAAGTGCCTGTGCAAGTGGCGACAGACGACTTCCGCCTCTTGGAGTCTTCATGCACTTCGGATGATGTCACCAAGATTCCCCCAGCTTAGGGGGGTGACTTCAGCTCGAAGAAGCTGCTTGGGAAGACTTCAGTTGTTTGATCCATCATTCATGATCATGGATCCAACACGGAAGTGGATGGAACACGGACTCTGGATCAAGCACGGGGGCTATCTACTTGCATGTGCGCCAGGGTCAAAACTCCTGATGTGTTGTAATTGGATGTACAAACGTCCAATCGAACCAAATGACCGTTCTCTTTGGCCACAACGAAGTGTTTCGACCGCACATGTTTGCTGGGGAGGGGAGCCCCAAAGCATTGAAGCCCTAAGAATCGTCTCAAGTCTCAGGCTGATGCAGTTCGTCTCAAGTCTCAAGAAACTCCCCTTGAAGACTCACATGCTTGGTGAAGGTGATTGTCGGGTCCATCTTCGGTGAAGGTTTCGGGTCCCCCCCTGGGCTCAAACCCCGAAAGACCCATGCGGCAAATAAGATCTTCCATTTCTCGTCGTTCTGCGGCAGCCGCGCGGATTTGCTGCACTGCCAAAAAGTTGCTTGACAAACTCAGCTTGCTTGGATGGGTCTCTGTAAACAGCACGCATGGCAAAACAATGACGCTCGGTCTGGACCTAGGGAAGCTCCCACCATGGGGAAGCTCTTCCTGTAGTCAGTATATACGTAGTGTTTTGTATGCTCGATCAAGGATGCTGGGGATTTATGGATCAACCTCCGTCTGAGTCCTATGGTTACAGTATGTTACAGTTGAAATGTTGAACAATCCCTGTGCAAGGCAGTGCAGCACAAGCTAGGATCAGCTGCTCGGAACCATGTGCGCAAAAAAGCAAGTGACAAGCAATCGCAGTGGGAAGCACGGCCCAGTGTGAACCAAGCAGGTACTGGGATGAGTATCCCCACTTCGTTACAGGTTCTTTCGAGATTGATATCTGGACCGAGTGGCAAACGAGAAAGGACCGGTGAACAAACACATATTGGGCGTCGGCGTGATCTATTGGAGCACAAAGGGTCCTCGTAAGAGCCCGTGGGATTGATGGGAAACGTCTCCTGCCCAATGCAAGAGGTTCTTCAGACCAACTTCCGCCCATTTCAACCGGCAAAGCACCACAAGATTGTCAATGCTGGTTCTGCTGTTGTGGCCAGATTCTGGTGCAGAATCGCACGAACCAAAACGCCTTCAAACTTCAATATGTCTCAAGGTTTTCGTTGCTGAAGGCTCGTGCGGCAGAAAGGCTTGGAAATCCAGAATTAATATCCTTGAGTGTGATTGGACATCAAGACATATGATATCATATCATCGATGCTTCAAAAAAAAGACGAACGCGTCCAGCACACATAAACAAATGCCCTCATGTCTGGGAGCTTCGGCTCTCAAGTCCCGACAAAAACATACAAAGACCGACCATGAAAAAAATCCTATGGATTCCAGACTCTGGACAATTCCTATGCTTCGAATCAGGTCCGGTAATCTAGCTTCTCATTCCGATTTGGCAACTGGACGCGTTGAAGGGGATTTCAATTCAACATGACCTCGATCCTGCTGCAGGTTCCCAGCGCGACAGCTGCCGTGTCTGACTGTCTCTTGGCCTGGCGGTGTAAGCCCAAGAGCAGCAAAGAAGGAACCCCAGCTACAGCCCCTTTATTTCAATGAGCTTTTGCTATTCCATGTTACAATTAAAACAAAGGGGTATGAGGGACAAAGTCTGTAACGAAGGACAGAAAGAAGCCGTTCATTGGATGTTCATTGGGACTGCAGCGCCACGGACTTCCCACACCGAAGGTGCTCAGACCACGTGCAACGCTGACCAAGTCAGGTGCACTGCGCGGCACTCATCAGTGAAGAAGGGCCCTGCAGACCTCTGGTCGCGGAAAGAGCCACCGTCAACGCCATCAAAACGGAAGTTGGCCCAATCACTGCCAATGACTTCGTTTCACATCAAGCCTCTATCGAGAACACGCATGCATTCCTTCGGGCTTCCCAACACGGCGTCCCTTGTGATCATCTTGGCTGAACAAACACGGCGTCCGTCCGTCGACCAGCAGTGTTCCCATGCCTCCTCTCAAGTCTCATCGAAAGGCTTCACCTCCACCCACCTCATGCACTTTTCTTCATGCTGTTCGCGCGACTTGCGAAGCCGTCGGTGCCCCGGATTTGCCCACAAAAGGCGACCTCCTGCACCCCATGAAGCTATCTATCAACGGGCGGCTTTCACGGAAAATTTGGGTTGGTTGATGTGTGGTGTGTCTAATATTGCTTCTTACTTTTTCGGCTCATGTTTTAAGTCCTGCAGAACTGTGGCAGGGTTGATTTGGATTCCATACTATCTTCCGGGAGCAGATGGACCCTTTATGCAAGCCAAGGAGCGATTCAGAGGAGCCCCTGAATTGAAATTTCCCTGCAGGATATTGGAACAACACAAAAAAGGTCCAGAGGCTTTGGTGATGTGGCCTTTACAAGCTCTGTCAAGCCTGGGTGTATATGTTTGACGTGTAGCCACATTAGGTTGCAAAATGAGAGACCTGACGGAAGTGGATATTACACTGACAACTGTTGTCCTGTTGATAGACAAACCACGCTTTCCTCTCCAACACGTCCATCATTTCCTATACGGTACGGTACTGTATACCATGGGCAGTATTCCCTGAGATACGATGTGCGCTTTGACAGATGGAAACATGGACATCTACAGGGACCCCCGCGCAAAACGGACATTGAGAGACTAGACGTACATATTTTGTACGTTTATAGTTCTTTGGTTATGGCTCAGAAGCCCAAAATAACTATCTACTTTAGAGTGCGCGTGTGTGTGTGTGTATATATATATAAATATGACATATGATATATGGTGTATATATATAGTTGGAACACTGCCCATAGCGGGCCTTAGTGCTTTTGATCTTTTTCGGACATGTCATCGGTTCTTCGTGATAAACCTGGGTTCTGGGGGCTGGGATAATAACGTCCGTTGTGGATGCAGGATATGTTCTTAATCATCTGTATTCCCCGGAAAAGTACTTGCATATTCCTTCAAGGAATGTCATTCATTGGTGTGGTTTGTTCACAATACGGTGTTGGATTCTGATCGTGGTTGGGCAACTGGGAAGCTGTTTTGGGTACCCGTGTTTGGTTGTTTGAACTCCGGTGTAGAACCTGGACAAGTTTCAGTAGCTGTCAACAACAACGGTTTGCACCTTTTCTTTTGGTGCTGAGCCGTCTGTTGTTGGGGTGTGTTGTTTGCAAGTGTTGTGTAGCCCTAAAAACTTGCAAAACTCGATAGTTGGGGGCAACTTGATTTGAATGTTGAAGTACACAGGAAAATTGTTTCCCGATGTAATTACGCCATTCAATCCTTGAAAAGGCTGAACGAATCTTCCCCAAGCTAATTACGTGCATCCCAATAAGGATGGTGATCAGAATTGTCATTTCGCACCACGCCGCGTTATGGGCGATGGACTTAGCTTGTATGTGTTTTGTATCAAGTTACTTTTTCCACAAATTACTTCACCCTGGAGATGGGCCGACTCACTCAGAAAGGAGACCATTGCAAGAAAATAGATAAGCCAAAAACACATAGAGCAACACAACCTACTTACATTAGTACCCACATGTGCCCACCCATTTGGCATATCCAGGGCATCACAAGGACGACGACTTGGGCACTGCCAAGGCACCCTTGCCCGTTCTCCAAAGTCCGCTCCTCCACCAAAGTGCTCTCGTTGGCCAACAGCCGGTCGATGGCTTTGGCAAACTCATGGTGGATCACCAGGTGTGTTGAGGAACGGATCCTCAGCATGGTGGATCACCAGGGTGTTTGAGACTCACATGGAACCGGGCGAACGGCATGGATGAACATGGACCAAACTGGAACACGGGTTTCCTCTACAACCCAATGACTTTGTTCCATGTGGGTCTGTTCCAGGGCGTCCGGAGAAGATGTTCCATTTGATCCAAATGGGCTTTCGGTCGGCTTGGCGAACCACGAACCGACGATGTTTGCCTCGAGTCGTGGCGCATGAACACCGCATGAACATCGTCCGCTCCGGCGAAAAAGGCGTCATGTTCAGAATCCAACATAGGTTCATTGGAATTCAGCAGTGGTTGTTTGAGGTCATAGACAACCCGGAAAGCTGGGCGACAAGCATCAATAGCAAACCCCTGCTATGTTGTCTGCCGGAGTGTTTTCTAGTAGCCTGAAAACATGGCTAGCTGGACTTTAGAAGAACTCGAGTTGCGGGTGGCCAGAGCGAAAGAACCCGTCGACCTGCTTCCCCTGCTTTACCCGCCGAATCCAACCAAGGAGCTCCACCAATTTCCTGAGATCGTCGCTTCATCCGGCGACGTCCACGGCACGTCGTCGGGTCGCACGGCTCGGATCCCTTCGTCGAATGGTCCGGGGGGATCGACCTCTTGGTGTCACTGGGCCGCTGGAGGGCTCGATGTCGTTTCTCGAACGGTGCGAAGACAACCACCGATGGATGGAAGCCGGTCCGCCAATGACCGTGGTGCAGT